TTGTTTCTTTTCAGATCAAATTATAACATCAATTATCAGAAAGGATGGAACTGCGAAATCTCTAAAGAGGGTAATGACGAAAAAAGAGTTTAAAATCCATGAGTATTTTCCGTATGCGGAAATCACTCTAGCTTCCCAACGAAATAAATGATCTGTTCCAGTACCTGCAAGAATCTACTATTTTTGAAATTTTCTTCGATATCATAAAGGAAAAATCGGTTATCGTAGTAAAAACTTTTATATTCTTGCAGTTCTGGAATATACCAAAGGTTGATCAATTTTTAGTCAGATATATTGAAAATGGGACATATGGATCCACATTTTTAAATAGCCCCCAGAAGTACCGCCAGATTTAAGGTGTTTTGGCTGTTTTAATTTTAGACATAACAAAATATATATATTCTTGATTAGCGTAAAATTCTAAAACGATTTAGCCCTGTCCGTCCGTCCATTTGTACTTCTGTTGTAATCACGCTAGACTCAAAACGAATAAAGAAGCTAAAATTTTGCACAGTTCAGTCTTTTGTCTGCAGACAATTCAAGTTCGAAGATGGGCTATATCGGTCCACGATATCGTATAACACCCATACTACGGTACCCCCCCCCCCCCCCCCCCCCGATATTCGGTTTTTTATGATATGAGCGACATTATTCACCGGAATTGTTTTAAATTTGGTATTTGAAGTTCGTAATGGATACTACAGCCTATGACAGGAGATTGCCTGTTCAGGTCCACGTCTTCGTATATTCCCCATATAACGGTACCTCCCAATATTCGGTATTTTGATGATATTGGGTACATTATTCACCGATTTTTTTTAGTTCCGCATTTGAATATTGTAATGGCTTATGACAAAAATTATGACCCTAATATAACAGCTTCATTCCGTATTTTTAAGATTTTAACGGAATTTTTAACTGATTTTATTTTTTTTGAGAATCGCCAAATCCGTTCCAAATGGTGGAGGGTATTCATAGTTCGGCCGGCGGGATTTTTTACTCGTTTTTTAATATTTTACCGATGCAGATACTTAAACAGGTTTTTGTGAAAAACCTCATAGGATTCCTATAATATATTTTAACTCCAATTTAATTTATATTTTCAAAATTTCAGAGTTTTTAATTTTTTTTTTTTTTTTGTAAATCCTTAAACATTTTTATATATTTGGAAAAAATTAGTTGGTATTATTTAAAGCTGATATTTTTATTTTTCGAAAATATTTCTTACCAGATATTCAAAATCTTTTCAAAATATTATAAAAAATATTTTATTATGCATTTCCAAACCCCATAATTACACATTAAGAACCTAAATTATAACCGAATTATATCGCATAATTTCAATTTGTTTTGAATCTCTACAATGCGACACGTGACGTCATTATTACCCTCTAATTTAAATCAAGGCAAACGGACACACACACCCCTGCACCTACCGCGTCAAGGATGCTGAGTGGTGCATCGGATGCAATATTTAGTAGCATATCATTAAAATGCACATTTTAGTTTTTGCTGTTGTTGTTGACACGAGTACGAGGGAGGAAATGTCCCACTCTATATGTTTCGTCAGACATTTGTCACATCCCATTCAAATGGGAACTGAAAACTTTCACAAATGAAAAGAGCTGCATTTTGACATTAACCCCGGACAACCTTCAACGAACCTTGACAAAACGGCAGCAACATCAGCAACCAAACACAGAAGGGTGGGTGGTAGGTTGATTATGCATGTAACTACTACTGGCTTTTGTGGATTTCCTGCAACAATCCAAAAAATCCCAGAGTGTAATAGAATTCGCATTCGTAAGTTGTAATTTCCGCACGAATCACAGCACCCACCCACCCCGATTTGTAGACGCCGTTGGCAGAACAAAAACACCACCTTTGCCACTAATTTATGTCAAGTCATGTTCACCATAATCTCCCGGGAGATGTTGATGAAATGCCTTATTTTCCAAAATTTAAAGGATTTAATTTCAACATTTTGAGCTAGAGATAAGGTCAAAAGGGAAAGTGGGTGAGAGGAGAAGTTCTTAATATTCTCAAAATAATGCGAGCTAGTATTCCAATTGGAGATGATCGGAAATCCAGCTGGTGGCACACATTTCCTATGATGAAGCATGAAACAAGTAAAAGAAATTTTAGGAAATGTCAAAAAACGAGTCGAATTCAGCTAACAATACCCTCCACCATTTGGAAGGAACAATAAGTAAAAGAAAATCCGTTGAAAAATGACCTCAACAGCTAATTATCTGCCAGATAAAGCGACGCCTACTACGATCTTCAAATACCAAGTTTGAGTTAAATCTGTTAAAAACTTTCGCCAACATCATAAATATAACTACCGTAGGGAGGTTCTGATGCAAAATGTTATGCAATGCCATTGAAAAAATTGAGAGAAATCATTAAAATACCAAGTATCAGGAGGACCACTTATATGGGGAATATACCAAAGCTTGGATCTATATGGACAGCTCTTTGCAAGGATGCTTCCTACATACTGAGAACACAAGCTGCTAATTTTCAGCAAATTCCGTACAAAAATATGACTGAAATAGCTAAAACACCTTAGATCATATGGAGACTATAGGGAGAGATAACAAAACTGCAGCAAAATTAAACGCCATAATTTTTACATTTTTTTTTTAAATTTTATTGAATGGAAGCAAATATTGTCGGAAACAGCATCAAATTTTAGAATAAGTTTAGATTTGTTCGAATTGGTCACCTTTTGCACGAATTATGGCCTTTAAACGGCCAATGAAACCGTCACACGCTGCCCAAATGTTGCTCTGCGGTATTTTGGCCCATTTCCGGCGAAGCGCTTGTTTGAGGTGATCGACACTTTGATATTTTTTAATGCAAACCTTGCTTTGTAAAATACTCCAGTCACATTAGTCCAACGGATTGGTATCCGGAGATTTTGGTGGCCATTGTGCGCTGGAAATGAAGCGAGCACCCTTATTTGTAAACATTCTTGGGTGGCGCGTGCTGAGTGCGATGGTGGCGAGTCCTTTTGGAATGTCCAAGGTCTGCAGCCAAAATGTTTGCGTGTCCAAGGCTTTGATACACCCTCCAGAATATTTTCGCGGTAATATTCGGTATTTATTCTGATGGCACGGTCGATTAATACGAGCGAAGAGCGACCATCGGCTGCTATGGCGGCCCACACCATCACCATGGCTGGCGCTTGAGTTCTGGTGGCCAACCGAAGGTGCACATTTTCAGCTGACCTCTTTGGCAAATAAAAACGATCATTTTGTTTGTTTACAAATTGCTGGACAACGAATGTTTTCTCATCGGAGAAAACCAAATTCGGCAGTTCACCACTTTCGGCCAAGCGAAGCAACTTTCTAGCTCTTTTGAGTTCTTGTACTTTTTTGAATTTCAATGGCTTTACCCCGACCTCATTTTTCAATATTTGCCAAATGGAATATTGTGATATGTTAAGCTTACGAGCCAGCTGTCGGACGAATTGCTTAGAAATGACAGCATTCTGAAGATGGTTGCAGTTTTTTCATCTCACTCTGTATGGGGGCTATACGAAGATGTGGACCTGCACAGACAATCTCTTGTCATAGGCTGTAGCATCCATTTCGAACTTCAAACTATTCCGTTGAATAATGTCGTTAAAATCATCAAAATGCCGAATATCGGGAGGTGCCATTATATATTGGCTACACGAAAACGTGGACCTGCACGGACAATTTTCTGTCGTAGACTGTAGCATCCGTTACGAACTTCAAATACCACATTTGAAACAATTCCAAAATACGGAAAATAGGGAGGTTCATTTATATGGGGGCTATACCAAAACGTGGGCCCACATGACCCATTTACAATACCAAAAGTCCTGCAGACATAATATTCATTTGAGTAAAATTTTATCAACCTACTGCATTTCGTTCGGAAGCTGAAGTGATTTCCACAGACGGATAGACGGACGGACTTCGCTAAGTCGACGTAGAATTTTATGCTGATCAAGAATATATATACTTTGTGGGGTCTAAAACGTATATTTCGAGGTGTTACAAACGGAATGACAAACTTAATATACCCTTCATACTATGGTGGAGGGTATAATAATGTGGTTATAATGACCAAATATACGAAGGCACATCCTCCCACTTATGAGTGATAAAAGAAGTGGAAGAGGAAATTGAACCCGTTACAAACTCATAGCACCAAATTTTAAGCAATTCTGTTCAAAAAATGTGGTCTAAATAGTCAACATACCAAATATTGGGAGGTCCATTTACGAACTTAACCTTCCTACTGACAAAATTTTAGCATTCTATTTCAATTCGTTCAAAGATAGCGTAATTACAACAGACAAGGTTTATCGACTTAGAAATTTACGTTGACCCAGAATATATAGACTTGCTTGCTTGATAAAATGAACAGATTATCAAACTCAAACAGTCAAGACTAATTCAATGTTTTTATCGACGAAGCCAGGAATACCTTTCAAAACCATTTCAGCTGTGGGACCCAACAGAAGAAACATGAGATTTTTCAAGCAAAAAGTACGGAAAATATCTAAAAGTTTAGAGATGAGAAAATGCAATTTTGTAGCTTAATGTAGCAAAACGTGTTGAACACAATCCGAGATTGTTAATTTTTATATATTTTCGGAAGATTTTCTTTAAAAAATCCCAATTTTTTGTTTGTTGGGTTCGGAGGCCATTTTCAAAGGCTCTTTTAGAACCTAAAAGAATCGCCTATTTTTTCAATTTTTGCAATTTTTTTATTTAAATTAAGAAAAATTGCATCTTTGTATGTACGGAAAGAACCAAGCTTTTCAGGATCTATATTTCCATGATTGTCGTAAAAAATGCCATTATATCACGTACTTACAATGTCAAACGCAATCACTTACGTGATTGAAATCAAATTGATTTAATTGCTTAGAAGTCGTTCTCTTCGCATCTAACCCATATTTCCCATTTGTAAGGGCTTTTTCGAGACGCAATGTTAATACACCAAAAAACACAACTGAAATTATTTCATTTTAATTTTATTGAAAACTAAACAAATAAAAAAGTAGAAAATAACGAATGTATGATTCAAAGCATACTCCAAGGTATATAATATAAATATATACCTTGATATACTTCTTAACAGTACAGTAGTGGATATAATAATGGCAACATAAAAAAACTAATCTTCGATAGCTGCATTAATTTCATCAGCATATTCGAGTAGTTTCTTCCACTGGCTCACCGATAGTGATATGCCCTTTTTGCCCGGCAGTATTTCTCCATTCTTTTCATAGTATTCACGAATGTCAATCAGTTTTTTGCCACGGAATTCATTGATGCGTACCTGGCGCTGTTTCTCCAGAACCCATTGATTATTGTTGCCGCCACTTTTGTTCTTATCCGCACCACCACCGGTATCTTTGGATTTTTTTGGTGGCGGGGCACGCTAAAAGAAATGCGAGGAAATACATATAGAATTTTTGATTTATATATGTACGTTTTGATTCCATAGATATATTTGGAAATACTACTCACATCATCTGGTCCCGAATCACTGTCTGAGGTAGATTCATTCTTTTTTGGTTTTGATTTCGGCATTTCGTTTCCTGAGTTGTGTTGTGTTGTTTGGCAAAGAAAATGCTAAAAAGCCGGCCGATTTAAGCGGTTTTGTTTGTTGAGTTGCAATAGAGGTGACAAACAATCGATGGCAATATCTGTAGTATCGATAGTTTAATCTTCAAGGGAATATCGATTGCAATATCGCACGACATGTCAGTAATAATACCATGTTCTTTTTAAAATTAATTCGTAGCGCATTTTTGAACTTTTTCTTTGATTATTTTTTTAGGAATTTGATTACAAATACAAGACCTACGCACCGATATGAAAAGCAGATATGATTGTCTTTCTTTCAGAGATATATATTGATATTAAAAACCGCAACAATGTGAAAATTTTACTACGATAATCGACTTACCCATTATGATATGGAAAAAAAAAATTGTGGAACTAGTACATTCTTGCAGGTTCTGAAATAGAGCAATTGTATCATTAATTTCACTTTTTTGTACCATTAATGACCACTTTGCAATTTCATCACAATTATTCCGTTGGCAACGACTAATTGTCAAGATATGTATTCATTGTTCTGGAGGGAGATTTAAGGCCTGGGGCACACAAACATTTTGGCTACAGACCTTGGACATTTTAACAGGACTCAGCACCATTGCACTACGCACGCGCCACCCAAGAATGGTTGCAAAATGTCGTTCTTCACTTCATTCCCGGCGCGCAATGGTCACCAAAAACTCCGGATACAAATCCGTTGGACTATTGTGTCTGGAGTATTTTGGAAAGCAAGGTATGCATTAAAAAATACCAAAGTGTCGATCACCTCAAACAAGCGCTTCGCCGGGAATGGGCCAAAATACCGCAGAGCAACATTCGGGCAGCGTGTGATGGTTTCATTGACCGTTTGAAGGCCATAATTCGTGCCAAAGGTGACCAATTCGAACAAATCTAAAATTTAATGCTATTTCCGACATTTTTTGCTTTCATTCAATAAAATTTAAAAAAAAAATAAAAATTATGGCGTTTGACTTTGTTGCAGTTTTTTTATCTCACCCTGTATATATTTTTAATAATAAGGTGCTACGATTCGTAAGATTCTAAGTCGATTCAGTCTCTTTCGTCCCTCCTCTGTCCGTCTGTTACAATCACGCCAGAGTCCAAACGACATGTGATGGAAAGCTAAAATTTTGCATAGAATTGTCTTTTGTCTACAGACAGGTCTAGTTCGAAGATGAGCTATATCGGTTCACGTTTTCATATAGCCCCCATATAATTGTACCGCCCCATATTCGGTATTTTTCAGATTTTAGCTACACTTTCTAACGCAGTAGTTTAAAATTCCGTATTTAGAGTTCAGCACAGGTTCCACCTCCTCTGGCACAATATTATTCATATGGGTCCACTTTTTCGTACAGCCCCGATATAACCCCCCATATTCGATATTTTGAAATTTTACCCAAACTTTCTAAAATTAACTCCTTTTTATGCCCTCCACCGTAGTATGGAGGGTATATTAAGTTTGTCATTCCGTTTGTAACACCTCGAAATATACATTTTCGACCCCATAAAGTATATATATTATTGATGAGCATAAAAATATCGATTTAGCGATGTCCGTCCATCTGTGGAAATCACTCAAGCATCCGAACGAAATGCAGTAGGTTGATAACATTTTACTCATATGTATATTATGTCTGCGGGACTTTTGGTATTGAAAATGGGCCATGTAGTTCCGTGTTTGGTATAGCCCCCATATAATGATATCTCCCTATTTTCGCATTATCGTGATTTAAGCGACATTATTCACCGGAAATATTTCAAATTTGGTATTTGCAGTTCGTAATAATTTCTACAGCCTAAGACAAAAAATTGTCAGTGCAGATCCACGTCTTCGTATAGCCCCCATATAACTGCACCTCCCGATATTCGGAATTTTGATGATTTTAGCGACATCATTCATCGGAATTGTTTCAAATTGGGTATTTGAAGTTCGTAATGGATACTACAGCCTAAGACAGAAAATTGTCTGTGCAGGTCCACGTCTTCGTATAGCCCCAATATAGAGGTACCTCCCGATATTAGGTATTTTGATGATTGTTGCGACATTATTCACCGGAATTGTTTCAACTTTGGTATTTAAAGTTCGTAATGGATACCACGGCATAAGACAGAAAATTTGCTGTGCCGGTCCACGTCTTCGTATGGCCCCATATAGCGGTACCTCCCGATATTCGGTACTTTGATGATTTAAGCGACATTATTCACCGGAATTGTTTCAAATTTGGTATTTGAAGTTCGTAATGGATTCAACAGCCTAAGACAAAAAATCATCTGTGCAGGCCCACGTTTTCGTATAGCCCCCATATAACGGTACCTCCCGATATTCGGTATTTTGATGATTTTAGCGACATTATTCATCGGAATTGTTTCAAATTTGGTATTTGAAGTTCGTAATGGATACTACAGCTTAAGACAGAAAATTACCTGTGCAGGTCCACGTCTTCGTATAGCCCCCATATAACGGCACCTCCCGATTATCGATATTTTGATGATTTTATTCGCCGGAATTGTTTCAAATTTGGTATTTGAAGTTCGTAATGGATACTACAGCCTACGACAGAAAATTGTCAGTGCAGGTCCACGTCTTCGTATAGCCCCACATAACTATACCTCCCGATATTCGGTATTTTGATGATTTTAGCGACATTATTCACCGGAATGGTTTCAAATTTGGTATTTGAAGTTCGTAATGGATACTACAGCCTATGCCAGAAAATTTTCTATGCAGCTCCACGTTTTCGCATAGCCCCCATATAGCGGTACCTCCCGATATTCGGTATTTTGATGATTCCAGCGACATTATTCACCGGAATTGTTTCAAATTTGGTATTTGAAGTTCGTAATGGATACTACAGCCTAAGACAGAAAATTGTCTGTGCAGGTCCACGTCTTCGTATAGCCCCAATATAGAGGTACCTCCCGATATTAGGTATTTTGATGATTGTTGCGACATTATTCACCGGAATTGTTTCAACTTTGGTATTTAAAGTTCGTAATGGATACCACGGCATAAGACAGAAAATTTGCTGTGCCGGTCCACGTCTTCGTATGGCCCCATATAGCGGTACCTCCCGATATTCGGTACTTTGATGATTTAAGCGACATTATTCACCGGAATTGTTTCAAATTTGGTATTTTAAGTTCGTATTGGATTCAACAGCCTATGCCAGAAAATTGTTTTCGTATAGGCCCCATATAACGGTTCCTCCCCATATTCAGTATTTTGATGATTTTAGCGACATTATTCACCAGAATTGTTTCAAATTTGGTATTTGAAGTTCGTATTGGATACTACAGCCTAAGACAGCAAATTGTCTGTGCAGGTCCACATGTATAGCCCCCATGTAACGGTACCTCCCGATATTCGATGATTTAGCGACATTATTCACCGGAATTGTTTCAAATTTGGTATTTGAAGTTCGTAATGGATACTACAACCTATGCCAGAAAAATTTCTATGCAGCTACACGTCTTCGTATAGCCCCATATTGCGGTAACTCCCGATAGTCGGTATTTTGATGATTTTAGCGACATTATTCATCGGAATTGTTTAAAATTTGGATTATAACAGAATTTTTTACTGATTTTTTTTTAAATTGCCAAATTCGTTCCAAATGGCGAAGGGTCCTTTTAAAATTAAGTGTATTTTGGGAGGGGAAATTCTCTAGAATCTCTCTATATCTAGGAGATCCTTACCCACTTTTTGTTAATGTACAAAAATCTAAGAAATATTCTTACACCATATTTGTAAATGAATACTTTTTCCCAAAGTACTCTTCTTTATTTATTACACCGTCTAAAAACTTATCATAGAAAAAAAACTTAATTTAATCATCTAAAATATAAACCTAATCCTTACAAAAATAATAGTAAACGACATGATGGCAGCTTATATTTTACAATTGTATTTGTAAATCCAATTTCCTGATTATATCCTTGGCCTTGTTCAATGTGGCCGGACCATGGGAATTTGAGGTGGACATTTTATACAAGTCTTGCATATATTTGTCTATATTCTCCACCGTGGCTCCGGACGGAGCCGTTGGTAGTGGCAGCGTGGACAAAGCCTGTGCCAATTTCTTTTTCAATTTTTCCAAATAAATTTCTAAAAGTCTATTTTTCACCTCCAATTCGTTGTTTTCCAATTGCATTTTTTCAACGCCAGATTTCATATTTTCAACGTGTTTTTCGAGTACGAAATTCTGTTGTTCCAAATCGGTTTTAGATTTACGCAGCGAACGTAGTTCTATGTCACAAATTTTATTATGTTCTAGAAATTCCGTTGTAAAAATGGGTATTTCACCGGGGGTGTGGGTGAGCAAAGTCGAGGACGTTGCATTGGCAGCAGCTGAGGTTGAGGCTGCCGATGAACCGGTCACAGAAGTGGCCGCTGATGCGGATGATGATGCGAAATTGTTGTTGCTATTGAATGGTGGCGTTGGAGTGCGTTTTAGACGATTCTTATCCAATTGTTTTTCGGAATTTTGTGAAGATGATGTTGTTGCTGATGACGAATCTTTTGTTTGGGTTTTCTCTTTTGCTGTCTCTTTTGAAGATTTTGCATTTTCATGTGGGGTTTGGATTTTATCCTTGTTGCTGCCACTAGATTTTGTGTTAGCCGCTGTATTTGTATTACCCACTTCAGCCTTACGTGGTTTATTCTTAGCCAGCTCACTGGCTAAAATGTCGGGTCGAGATTTTAGGAATGTGTGTAGTTCACTGAGGTACCTGGAAGATAGAAAAGAAGAAATTACTTTTAAAAGTTAGAAAATAAAAGAAGTAAAAAGCTGAGTACACTCCACAATTTGGAACGAATTTAGCAATTCTCAAAACCAATAAAATTTGTTAAAAATTCTATAAAAATCTTAAAAAATACCGAATGTAGCTGTTATTTTAGGGTCTATACGACAACATGGACCTGCATAGGTAACTTTTGTCATAAGCCATTACAATCTTCAAATTCGAAACTTGGAAAAAAATTCGGTGAATAATGTAGCTCATACCGAATGTAGGGAGGAGCAATTATATGGGGGCTATACGAAGAAGTGGACCTGCATTTTCTTTCTTAGGCTGTAGTATCCATTACGAATTTGAAATACCAAATTTGAAAAAATTCCGGTGAATGTCGCTAAAATCATCAAAATACCGAATATAGGGAGGTACCGTTATATGGGGCTATACGAAGACGTGGACCTGCACAGGCAATCTCCTGTCATAGGCAGTAGCATTCATTTTGAACTTCAAATACCAAATTTGAAACAATTCCGGTGAATAATTTCGCTAAAATCATGAAACTACCGAATATAGGGAGGTACCGCTATATGGGGGCTATACGAAGACATGGATCTGCACAGGCAATCTCCTGTCATAGGCTGTAGCATCCATTTCGAACTTCAAATACCAAATTTGAAACAATTCCGGCAAATAATTTCGCTAAAATTATCAAAATACCGAATATCGAGAGGTACCGTTATATGGGGGCTATACGAAGATGTGTACCTGCACAGCAAATCTCCTGTCATAGGCTGTAGCATCCATTTCAAATTTCAAATACCAAATTTGAAACAATTCCGGTGAATAATTTCGCTAAAATTATGAAAATTCCGAATATGGGGAGGTACTGTTATATGGGGCCTATACCAAAACGTGGACCTATACGGCCCATTTTCAATACCAAAAGGCCTGCAGACATAATATACATTTGAGTAACATTTTATCAACCTACTTCATTTCGTTCGGAAGCTAGAGTGATTTCCACAAACGCACAGACGGACAGAAGGATGGACATCGCTAAATCGACATAGAATTTTATGCTGATAAAGAATATATACTTTGTGGGGTCTAAAATGTATATTTCGAGGTGGAGTATGGTAGAGGGTGTAAAAATAGCGGGAAACCAAAATTAGCTCCGGTAAAAGCAGCGAAAAATTGTTGAACGTTTTAGAAAGTCGTTCAAGGCGAGCTGAAGGAAGTATTACAGAGGAGCTTAAAGTAGTCTTTACAGGCGAGTCGATGGGAGTCTTTCCAGGCGAGCCGATGGGAATCTTTATAGACGAACAATGATAGCTTCTGTAAGCGAGCCGGAGGGAGTCTCTACAGACGAGCCGGAAGGAATCTCTATAGGCGAGTCAGAGAGAGTCTCTATAAACGATCCAGAGGAAGTCTCTACAGGCGAGCCGGAGGGAGTCTCTACAGGAATAAGCGTAAGGAAATTTCTATAGAGACGAGTGTCATATACCAAGCCTAAAAAGACGTCCTTCGACTCACATACAAAGGCTCCCTCGAATCGCCTACAAAGGCTCCCTTTGGTTCGCCTATAAAGTCGAAGAGACCTTTTCTAGGCGAATCGAAAGGAGCCTCTCTAGGCAAGTCAAAGGGACCCTTTCTAGACAAGTCGAAGGGAACCTTCCGAATAATCCGAATTTAGCTATTCTAGGCAATTCAAAGGGTCCCTTTCTAGACACGTCGAAGGAAGCTTTTCTAGACAAGTCGAAGAGCCTTCTACAGTTCTTTAACAATAGAAGACTTTTTGCATGTCATCAAAAAATACAAGAATTTCTAAAAATCGCCTCTGGAACATAGGAAGGCTTGAGGATAGACCTTTAGAATGCATTCCATAGAAAAAAATTATATCTAAATGTTTTTTTTTTAATAGCATTGCAAGACCTACCAATAACTCCCTTAATCATTTCGACATGGAAATTTCCTAACATTTTTTTTTTCAAAATCAGTTTTTATCAATGGATGGATTCTATACTTCTCCAGGATATTTGATAAAATTTGAAATGTTATTTTTTATAATACTCTAAATAAAAAGGTGTCTATTTGTTGTAAACGTAATTTTCTTAAATCTCTTCTTTTATTTTTATAAATGGAGGACATGCAAGTGGTGAACTATTTTCACGTTTCTTTTTAATATCCTGCATCAGCTGCAGTGTCTTAATGCGAAATTCCAATTTTTCATCATTGCTAAAATCCTTAATGGTTGGCATTAGGGATTCAAAAAATGAGAAATCCTCATCAAATTTCCTTGGCTTAAATTCTTCCATAAATTTTAATAATTTCTCTTCTATTGTCTTCTCGTTCTGACCGGCCGCGTTAGAAGAAAATTGAAAATCCTGAGATTTTGATGTGGCCGGTTGAAATGTTGCAGGACCAGGGGAATTGTTATAGCTATTACATCTTGCCTTTTTTGCGGGCAATGTATAGGAACAGGTTGTGGTGTCATTGTCTTCAGTTTCAGCCGAAGGATAATCTGGTACAGATTCAAACACTTCAGTTTGTACCAATTCCATGGGATCAATGTAATCAGTTGATACAGATGTTGTGGTTGTTGTTGTTGGGGTTGTGGGCGCATCTTTGGCTGGTGACTCCTTGGGCAGACATTTGTTTAGAAATCTCAATTGCTTGGCATAGATATATGAGCGAACAGGTTTTCCCTCAAAGACGCCACAACGACGACTATTCACTTCGGACATTTTCTTCTTATAACGCACATAATTGTCGCGAATGGAACGCCATTTCATGTTAATGTCGTGCACTATGAGTCAAAGGACGGAAAGGAGAGGTTTAACATAGTATTGTTGAGCTTTGCTTTGTCCCCCCCCCCCACACACACACACAAAAAGAACAACATTGTTTACTTACGAACAGATTTCTGTTCCACTTCAGACATATTCTTGAAATTCTTTTCCAAATTTGCAGCCACCTCCAGCCAGGCATCATTTTTCATGGCCTTGTTTTTGTAGCATTCCTCTGTGGAGTCCCATATAACCGGTCTCTTCTTTACTTCAGCAATAATTTGTTCTGCTTCCATATTTGTCCAAGTCAGTCAGACAGACCACAATCCAATTCTATACGTACCTACGTCGTATCTGTGTGGATGATTACTAACATTACACACGCACACAGGCACACTAGCCATTGCTCACTTAACAACGCAATCAACGCACGCTAAAATAAACGTACGTCAAAGACCAAAGATGCATTATATCTTCAGATGCCATCAATAGGGAACCGGTTTTGGGAATTTGCCGATATTGATATGGGGAAAGTGGTGGGGGGAGGGGAATTTGCATTATTTATTTGGAACATAGAACCAATCCAACGCACGTTAACGCAGCTAATTTTACAAACATTAGGTGAAATTCGTTATTTATTAGCGTCATACGTTACGCTTTTATTTCATCTAAGTTGTCAGGTGAAATACAACTCTGAGTGATGCCACATCTGTGTGAAATGAAAACGGGATTTTAGGTGGCAACGATGATAATTTAAAATAACGATCAAAGGCGAGTCCTTTATACACGAAATGCAGGTTACTTGTAAATTTTAAACTGGAGGAACTTCACATAGAAAATTTGAAAGTAGTCATGCTGTTCTGGCTGAAAGTAGTAGACCAGCTGAATATAGTTTTTAGACAGAAGTTGAAGAAAGTTTTTTTAGACAAGCTTAAGGAGTCTTTATAGCCGAACTGAACGGAATTTTTGTAAATGGGCCGAGTTTTTTTTTTTTTTTTTTGCGATTTGAAGGGCTCTTCTGGGCGTGGGAACGAAGGGAGCCTTTCAAGGCGAGTTGAAAGGAGTCTTTCTGGGCGAGTCGAAGGGAGCCTTTATAGGCGAGCCGAAGGGAGCCTTTGTAGCCGAGCCGAAGAGAGCCTTTATAGGTGAGCCGAAGAGAGCCTTTATAGGTGAGCAGAAGGGAGCCTTTATAGGTGTGGCGAAGGGAGCCTTTATAGGCAAGTCGAAGGCAGCATTTCTGTGTGAAGGAAGTCTTTCTAGACAAGCTTAAGGGGTCTTTATAGGCGAACTGAATGGAATCTTTGTAGACTGGCTGAGTTTTCTCTTTTTGGCGAGTTAAAGGGCTCTTCTAGGCGAGCAGAAGGGAGTATTTATAGGCGAACTGAAGTCAGCCTTTCTAGGCAAAACGAAGGAGCCATTCTAGGCCAGTCGAGGGTGCCTTTCTAGACGAGTCGAGGAGCCTATCTAGGGAGCCTTTATAGGAGAGCCGAAGGGAGCCTTTGTAGGCGAGCCGAAGAGAGCCTTTATATGCAAGCCGAAGAGAGCCTTTATAGGTGAGCCGAAGAGAGCCTTTATAGGTGAGCCGAAGAGAGCCTTTCTACGCAAGTCAAAGGGACAAGTCGAGGGAGTCTATCCAGGCGTGTCGAAGGAAACGTTTCTAGGCAAGTCAAAGGGACCCTTTCGAGGCAAGTCAAAGGGAACCTTTCTAGACAAGTCGGAGGGAGTCTTTCGAGGCAAGTCAAAGAGATCTTTTCTAGGCTAGTCGAGGGAGCTTATCTAGGCGAGTCGAAGGAAGTCTTTCTAGGCGAGTCGAAGGAAGTCTTTCTAGGCGAGTCGAAGGAAGCCTTTCTATGCGAGTCGTATGAGGAGACTTCCTAGGCGAGACGAAGTTAGCCTTTCCGGGCGAGTCGAAGGGAACCATTCTAGGCGAGCCGAAGGGATCCTTTATAAAAAAAACTGTAACCAACTTTAGACTGCTGTCATTTCTAAGCCACTCGTACGACAGCTGTTAAACTTATTCCAGTGATAGCTCATTATATTCTTTACAAGCGTACAAAAGCATTTTGGTACGAATTTTCCAGAAAAAAGTTATTCGTGATAGAATTCAAGCGTGAAGGTGTGATTTCTTTATATTTGGCTGGTAAACCACAAATGGCTATCGTTGGAGCACTCCAGCATTTAAATGTGAATAAATATTTACCATGATACTGGTAGCGTAGTCCGACGTCAAGGAAGTGGGAAAAATAAATCAGCAATATCAGCAGAAATGATTCGAAAAGTAAAGAAGCGACTTGATCGAAACTACAGCGTCGCAGTGGCCGAAAAATTGCTCGTGAGCTGAACATATCGCAATATTCCATTCGAGAAAAATTGAAAAATGGGCTCGGGGTAAAGCTATTGAAATTCCAAAAAGTGATAGGACTTACACCGCAACAGAAAGAAAATAGACTAAAAAGAGCTAAAGAGTTGCTTCGCTTGACCGAAAGTGGTGAACTGCCGATTTTGGTTTTCTCCGATGAGAAAACATTCGTTGTCCAGCAGTTTGTAAACAAACAAAATGATCGTGTTTGAACGTGCCAAAGAGGTCAGATGAAAATGTCCACCTTCAGTTGACCACCAGAACTCAAGCGCCGGCAATGATGATGATGTGGACCGCCATAACAGGCGATGGTCGCTCTCCGCTCGTATTAATCGACCGTGGCATCAGAATAAATGCTGAAAATAATCGCAAAAATATTCTGGAGGGTGAATTAACAGCCTTGGGCACGCAAACATTTTTGCCGCAGACCTAGGATATTCCAACAGGCCTCAGCACCATCGCACTCAGCACGCGTCACCCAAGAATGGTTACAAAATAAGGTTCCTCGCTCCATTTCCAGCGCACAATGGCCACCAAACCGTTGGACTATTGTGTCTGGATTATTTTGGGAAGCAAGGTTGGCACTAAAATACCACAAAGGGTCGATGACCTCAAGCAAGCACTTCCCCCGGAATGGGCCAAAATACCGCAGAGCATCATTCGGGCAGCTTGTGACGGTTTCATTGGCCGTTTGAAGGCCATAATTCGTGCCATTCAATAAAATTAAAAAATAAATGTAAAAATTATGGCATTTGATTTTGTTGCAGTTTTTTTTATCTCACCCTGTATATATAGACAAACGGAAGACAAGGGGTAATGTGTGGGAAGCTTAAGCAGAGAATATGAAGATATGAAAAATAGTCTGTCACGAGAGTCTTCTTCAGCTATCAGAAGTTCGTCTTCTTAAAAAAAGTTTGGAATGATTTTATAGCTAAGGGCTAAAAGCAAAAAATAATTTTGCATTCGCCAGCAAGTCTTCCTACACTGTATTCCAATTAAGTTTAGTTTTTTTGGTAGGTTCCTCTTACAGAGGGCTCCCTGGAATTCAATATGGGAAAATCTTTTCTGAAGGACGGAGGATTTTTCGCGTGAGGTTTTCCTTAACAAAAGTTGTTCAAACTCCACATTGGAAAATCCACGGAAACTTTCGAAAGGAATTGTTAGGAATGAAAGTTAAGACCTCTGTTGAAATTTTTTTCAAAGTTTTGTGCGTTCTTGGTTGTTCGGAAAATGACTTCAAATAGATCCATGTTGGTCCTTTGGAAAATAGTCTTAAAAGACGGCTGAAGGACCACAGAATCCATATATAGATTAAGCAGGGAGTATGAATAGATGAGAAAAGGCCTCACTCGAGAGTCTCTATCAAAAATCAGAATTTCATTTTCCTTAAGAAGTTTGGGATAATTTTAGAGCTAAGGACTCAAGGAGTTTTTTGCTCAATACATTATACATGAGCCAGTTTGTCTTCCTACACAGAGTCCCATTGTGGATAAAAGAAAAATATTGGTTGGTTTCTCTTACAGAGGCTTCAAAATGGAAAAAAATTTTCTGTGAGGACTAAATGGTCACATCAGGTCTTCCTTAACAAACAAATAGTTTAAAATCCACATTTTAAAATCCATGGAAAATAATTGTCAGGAATAAAATTTATGACATCTATTAAAATGCTGAAAATTATTTATAAAATTTTGGTGCGTTCTTGGTTCGCCGGAAAATGTGTTTTAAAAGATTCACGTTGGTACTTTGGAAACTAGTCTTAAACGACGTTTAAGGACCTTCTTGTTTCAATGTGAAACTTTTTTACAGAAGCTCAAGAGGTCCTATACACAAGACAAGGTCTTCTTGCATAGAGGAATTTTTCCAAAAGAAGACTAAACGGATAAGACACTTATATTGTTTAGATTCCCGGCATTATTTCTAAAGGTGAGATTAAGAGGATTTTTTTTGGCATAAGTCATAAGACTAGCATTTTTCGTAAACTATCAAAGGACTTTAAGGTAGCCAAGTTGAAATTATGTGCCAGAGGGCCTTCTTATTTGAAAGACAATAAAGATCCTGTTTGGCTTTGCTATCAAACTCTAATTATCTTTAAGGCACGAACCATTAATCCTACTCATAAATACCAACTCACCTTTGCTTATCTGCCTCGGCCGCTTTCAGATATTCACTTTTGACGTCGCTGGACAGCGATTGCCATTCCTCGGCAATAACTTTGGTTACCTCAATGGAAGTTTTGGTGGGATTATCTTTGCGTACTGTCTCCCTGCGATCGTTCATATAACGGACATAGCCTGAAAATAAGACATTATTTGTGAAAACTTCCTCCATAGATACAAATGTGTAACACCATACCAGTCAGAGGCATTTTGGGGGCTCCCACTGCCTTAATTTTACGTCGCTTCAGGCGATAACGTTCCTCATCATTGGCTGTGGCTGTTGCAGTTGCGCCCACACTCTTACGTTTTTGTACCTTACCCGGTTTTGCGTTGCCTTCTGGGACATTGGGTACTTCTTCGGTATCGGACAGTGTCACGGCCTTATCTTCTTTGGGAAGCACAGCAGCTTTAGGGATCTCTGCGACATTCTCTGGCACAATTGTCTTTTCTTCCATTGGCTGTTCTTCTTTTTTATTCTCCCCCTTTGGAATGCTATCATTGCTGCCATTGGCTCCATCTACTTTTTGAACATCCTTTTCCAATTCCTCGGCTTCATCTTCCTCCTCCTCTTCTTCCAAATCCATTACCAACTTTTGCGAATTATCCTTTTCCTCATCTTCATCGAAATCATCGTCGTCCTCATCTTCATCATCTCCATCGAGTTCAATGTGTTTGGGTGGTGTTGCAGCTGGTATGGTTGCAGATGGTTCTTCTTCTTGTTCCTGCTGCTGCTGCTGCGGCTGAGTGGGTTCAGCTGGCGGTGGTTGCGGCGATGTTGGTGTAGGTTGTGCAATTTCCGTCTTCTCGCCGGCATTTTCTTTGGCTTCTTTTTGCATTGCCTCAACTTCAGCTTGGATTTGTTCAATAGTTTCCTGGCTACCATCCATGATTGCGAAATTATCCGCGACAGAGACAAGTCAGAGGAAAATTGCTTTGTAATGCCAACCTAGACTAGAAAAGAAACAAAAAGCGCGTGCCAACGGCAATTTTGCTGTTATACTGGCATACTTGTGTGGTATAACACTAACACGCAGAAACGATAGTTTGCGTTTGAAGGGTTTTGGTTTTGTTTACGAATAAGAATAGGAGCAAAGCAAAAAAACACATGTGATAATAGAATGAACAGAGAACGGCAGAGTCTGATGGTTAAGAAAGAGAGAAAAAATATAAATAACGAGATAGAAAAAGAAAGAGCTACAAACAAGGGAGAACAGTAAGATACAATGCATGGTAAAGTGGTATGGCCACATCATGAATTTCTTCAGCTTTCGTTGAAATGAAAAATAAAACAATTGTGTTCCCGTATTTTTTATTCATAAAACTGCAAAGAAAATAATACATTTCCAAATGTATTATCATGAGCAAATACAATTTTAATGATTTATTATTATTCTAATGGAAAATGTAAATAACTAATTGGCGTAAACATATGGGACTTTAATGTGTATTACAGTAACCCCCAGCCATGCTTTCAGTTGGTATGTAGATTACCAGAGAAGATTCATTTTTTTTATCGTAAATCTGGGTAAATAAATACGAATTAACCAATCAATCCTCATAATATGAGTTAATTAGGACAAAAGTTGGTACAAACACGCGTACTTTTACACATTCATTTAAGGATGGACCATTGCCATATATCAGGTTTTGTCCATCAAGCATGGTACAATAAAAAGGTAAGGTAGAGCCCCCAGCTGATTACAATTTTTTTCTATTAATTCTGACAGGAAGCGGGCCTAGCGGGCTGTATGTCTGTAATTTTACTAAGCTGTTCTACCACCTTATTGTACCATGGAAATTTATCCTCAACGCGTACTCTTACAAATTCAGTTAAATATAAGCCATTGCCATATATCAGGTGTTGTCCATCATGTTCCAATCCTGATAAATGCGTTACAGGGTGAGATAAAAAAACTGCAATAAAGTCAAACGCCAATGAATGCAAAAATGTCGGAAATGGTATCAAATTTTAGAATAAGTTTAGATTTGTTCGAATTGGTCACCTTTGGCACGAATTATGGTCTTCAAACTTCAAACCCAATGAAACCGTCACACACTACCCGAATGTTGCTCTGCAGTATTTTGGCCCATTCCCGGCGAAGCGCTTGCTTGAGGTGATCGATACTTTGGTATTTTTTAGTTCCAACCTTGCTTTCCAAAATACTGCGGACGCAATAGTCTAACGGATTGGTATCCGGAGATTTTAGTGGCCGTGTGCGCTGGAAATGAAGCAAGAAACCTCATTTTGTAACAATTCTTGGGTGGCGCGTGCTAAGTGCGATGGTGCTGAGTCCTGTTGGAATGTCCAAGGTCTGCGGCCAAAATATTTGCGTGCCCAAGGCTTCAATACACACTCCAGAATATTTTCGCGATAATATTCGGCATTTATTCTGATGCCACGTTCAACTAATACGTGCAGAGAGTGACCATCGGCAGTTATGGCTGCCCACACCATCACCATGGCCGGCGCTTGAATCCTGGTGGCCAAACGAAAATGCACATTTTCAGCTGACCTCTTTGGCAAGTAAGCACGTTCATTTTATTTGTTTACAAACTGCTGGACAACGAATGTTTTCCCATTGGAGAAAACCAAATTCGGCAGTTTACCACTTTCTGCCAAGCGAAGCAATTTTTTAGCTATTTGAGTCTTGTTTCTTTCTGTTGCGGTGTAAGTTCTTGCAGTTTTTGGAATTTCAATGGCTTTACCCCAAGCTCATTTTTCAATATTTGCCGAATGAAATATTGCGATATGTTCAGCTCACGAGCCATTTTTCGACCACTGCGAGGCGTGTGGTTTCAATCAAGTCGCTTCTTTACTTTTCGAACCCTTTCTGCTGATGTTGCTGTTTTCTTCCGTCCACTTCCGTGATGTCGCTACCGTACGCTACCAGTATCACGGTAACGAGCGATGGCACGAGAGATTGGCACAAAAGATTTATTCACATTTAAATGCTGGAGTGGTCTAATGATAGCCACTTGTGGTTTTCCAGCCAAACATAAAGAAATCACACTATCACGCTTGAATTCCATAACGAATAGCTATTTTTCTGGAAAATTTTCACCAAAATGCTTTTGTACGCGTGTAAACAATATAATGAGCTGTCACTGGAATAATTTTAACAGCTGTCGGACAAGTGGCTTAGAAATGACAGCAGTCTGAAGTTGGTTGCAGTTTCTTCATCTCACCCTCTACTTTTAATATAGACTAGGCACATTTAGACAAAGCAATAAAAGTCAACTTTACGGTATCTATCGCAGAACTCTGTCCCAAAATCTTCAAGGGTCTACATTTCCTTTTTCAATTCTTTTCAATATTATGAAGGAATAATTGGTTAGCCTATTAACATTTTTACATTCTTGCAGGTTCCGGAACAGAGTAACAGTCATGAGTGCCATTTTTTTCCTCTAAATTTATTTTAATTCTTTTTCTTTACCTAAAAATTTTGCCTATTAAACGTTATTCACATTTGGAGCACATGTAATATGTTTTTCACTAATTTCCAATAGCATGAATTCATGTTTTCCTAGCCATTTCCATGAATTGACAAGCCAGTTTGATTTTCAACATAAATAATAATTCGCCCATTGCAGAGACCCAAACAAAAAGGAAATTATCGATTTTTTTCTGCAAAACTGTCCGTTTTGGGTGACTGTGTGCATTCTAATTCATATCGATTGATCGATAGTCGAAAGTCGGCTTTCACATCCCTAGCTGGGAACCGACAATTAAATTTAGTAGCAAGCTATACGCGTAGATAAAACTAAAACGGTTGGCCATAAACGGAAGACGATTGTTTAATAATAGTGCGGCGACGGAAACGTTTAGAATGAAAGAAAAGAAATCCAATTGAAAAAAGAAAACAACAACTAAAAAGAGAAATGAAATAAAATGTATTAATAATAAATAGTGAATAGAAAGGCATATAATAAATTAATTGGAAAAGAATTTGCTTGGAAATTCTTATTCTTAAGTGGTGCAACAACATATAAAGTTGGATATTTGTGTGTGTGTGCGTGTTTTTGAAATAACAAAAGGTATATGTCTATATATTTTTGATTGTTATTATTAACTGCAAATAATTTTTCAATATTTCGTGTAAAAACAAAATAATAAAATATTCTTTTGTGTGTGTTTGTGATTTATTGATACTCCTCCATCTTCCCCTACTCCTTCTCCATCACTTTCCGCGACTGCTGAGTGGAGCGTGCCTGTAATGTTTTATTGAAATTATTTTTTTATATACCAAAAAAAGCCCCAAATAGATTGCACAATAAGAAAACGAATGAAGAAAATACAATCCATTTAAAATTTATATTCTACAACAACAACTACATTGTATCATCAAATAGAAAACAAAACTTGTTATTGGTGTAGAAAGAAATATTATGTTAAAAAATATACATAAAGACGGAGAATAAAAGTGAGTGTTTTTTGTTGGAGCATATTTAAGAAGATGAAAAAATGAAACTGGATTATTATGTTTCTTTGTTTTTTTTTTAATCAAGTAAAGGGGATATTGGGGATACACTCCTCTTGTTGCAAAGAGAAAGAGAGTAAAAGTCAATAGAACAATAGCAACAACATAAAATGCAACGGCCATAACAAAGATCCAACAACTCCTTGCATTTTACAACAACTTACAAATGAAATAAACTCCATTACTCTCTCTCACCAACCTTAAAGTTCTCACGGCACTATGCACCATTTACTCTTTGTCTCTCTCTCTCTCTTCAGATGATTTGTTTGTTATTAAATAGGAAGGGACTGAGACTCCAAACAATGCAGCAGCAGTCAGACATTCTAGCAATAACAAAAACAACACCATTTACAAGAAACCAGATACCAATTGGAAAAAAATGAAAGGGGAGACATGAAAGAGAATTGAATAAAAATAGAATACCATGTATTTGTTTGGAATCTAAGGAGAATAAGGAAAATAAAATCACCGTTTAAAATGGAAATAATGGTAAATACAAAGAAAAAGTGAAATGTCAACAAAGGTAGAGGCTGGCTACTGCTATCTATGTACACAATAAACCCTCTACCCTCTACCGATATGTTACATTCCCCCCAATGCATGAGTTATTAGATAGTGTTGCCCATGGCATGTAAATGACAATTGGTAACATTTAAAAGCGAATTTGTTGTTGCTGGTTTGTTACCCAGCAATAAAGTGAATGGTCTCTCAGATAACAAAGAAATGGGGTCAATATTCTTTTTTTTGGATTTTAGTTGGATAAATGTTATCTTTTCCCCGGAGAAAAAAATATTTTTTGGAAGACTAAACGAAATTTTAGTAATTGTCATTGAATTTATTCCGTCGAAGTTCATTGACTTTCTTGCGCACTAAAGTGTGCTTGCACAAATTCTTTGGGTAGGTAGCTACCTAGATTTAGTGAAAAGCCTTGAACTATTTTGAAATATTTCGCTATTTGTTGTCTGCAAAACTTTTTGTGTCATGGAAATAATAAAAGGGTTGAAATATTAAACTATAAAGGTATGTAGATTTAATTTTTATACTTTAAATATGTTCAGGCCTCCTTAGTGGATTATTTGGCTTAACTCTAGTTTAGTAAAAACTCTTCAATATTTTCGAAATTTTTTCCAGTAGTAGATATTTTTACTCTGATCCCGGGAAACTACTTTTTTCTTGGGGGACGGACCAAAGTTTTCTAAATGAGAAAACATTAGTTGTCCAGCAGTTTGTAAGCAAACAAAATGACCGGTATAGATAATATAGGTATCTTTGGGAAGCTTATGAAAAAAGGGTCAACAAAGTTGATGGTAATTTATAGCTGATACTCTTACCTTTCCAAAATGCTACAATTTGTGCTAATACCTTTACTGAGTCCAGAGATATGGGTCTTTCTATCAGCATAACCCGATTCTAACCAGTACAAGACCCGGCCGAAGGCCGGATATTTACCAAAAGTATCAAATTTAGAAAACTTTTGTAATCCAACGACGGCTACGCGAAATAAAACTTTTTTTATTGAAAACATAATTTTAATGAACTGGTTAGAATCGGGTTATGCGGATTGAAAGACCCATATCTCTGGACCCGAAAAAGGTATTCGCACAAATTGTAGCATTTTGGAAAGGTAAGAGTGTCAGCTATAATTTGGCTTCATTTTTGTTTACCCCCATAATGGGCCCTTTTTGGGTGTTTTTTAAAAACTCCGGGTCCAAAAAATCGATAAATTGACTATAACTTCCGAACTTACCCCATAATATGGTATTTTCATAAGCTTTCCAAGAATACCCATATTGTCTATACCAGGTCCAGGCCGGGTCTTGAACCCAAAAAAAAATAGTTTCCCGGAATCAGGCTAAAAATACCTACCTCTGGGAGAAATTTTGAAAAATCGAAGAGTGTTTATTAAACTAGAGTTGTTCCCTGCTGTCATTTCTACGCCACTCGTCCGACAGCTGTCAAAATTATTCCAGTGACAGGTAATTATATTGTTTACAAGCGTACAAAAGCATTTTGGTGAGAATTTTTCCAGAAAAAAGTTATTTGTGATGTAATTAAAGCGTGATAGTGTGATTTCTTTATATTTGACTGGAAAACCACAAGTGGCTATCGTTAGAGCACTCCAGCATTTAAATATGAATAAATATTTTGTGTCTCGTACCATCGCACATTAACGTGATACTGGTAGCGTAGCCCGACGTCAAGGAAGTGGACGGAAGAAAACAGCAACATCAGCAGAAATGGTTCGAAAAGTAAAGAAGCGACGGCTCGTGAGCTGAACGTATCGACGCAATATTGTATTCGGCAAATATTGAAAAATGAGCTCGGAGTAAGGCCATAGAAATTTTAAAAAGTGCAAGAACTTAGACTTAGAATAGACTCAAAAGAGCTAAAGAGTTGCTTCGCTTGACCGAAAGTGTTGAACTGTCGAATTTGAATTTATCCGATGAGAAAACATTCGTTGTCCAGCAGTTTGTAAACAAACAAAATGATCGTGTTTACTTGCCAAAGAGGTCAGATCAACTGAAAATGTGCACCTTCGGTTGGCCACCAGGACTCAAGAGCCGGCAATGGTGATGGTGTGGGCCGCCACAACAGCTGATGGTCACTCTCCGCCCGTATTAATCGACCGTGGCATCAGAATAAATACCGATTATTATCGCGAAAATATTCTGGAGGGTGTATTAATGCCTGGGGCACGCAAACATTTTGGCCGCATACCTTGGACATTCTAACAGGACTCAGCACCATTGCACTCAGCACGCGCCACCCCTGAATGGTTACAAAATGAGGTTCCTCGCTTGATTTCCAGCGCACAATGGCCACCAAAATATCTGGATACCAATCCGTTGGACTACTGTGTCTAGAGTATATTGGAAAGCAAGGTACAAGGCACTAAAAATACCACAGTGTCGAATGGGCCAAAATACCGCAGAACAACATTCGGGCATTGTCACACGCTTTTCATTTGCCGTTTGAAGGCCATAATTCGTGCCAAAGGTGACCAATTCGAACAAATCTAAACTTATTCTAAAATTTGATGCTATTTCCGACATTTTTTGCTTTCATTCAAAAAAATTAAAAAAAAAAAAATGTAAAAACTATGGCGTTTGACTTTGTTGCAGTTTTTCTTATCTCACCCTGTATAATGTTAATATCCAAAAACACTTAACCAAGGACTCCTATAAAGATACAGAATTTAAAAATTCGATAATTAATAAGATAATGTGCTTATATAGTTTCGGATGTTAATTTCGCGTTTTATGAGCTTCATGTGTACCACAAGGAGTGGACCGATATATCCCATCTTAACAGCATATCTTATGTGAGTAGAAATAATAGGCTGTGTGGAATATAAAGAGAACCGGATGCTTATTTCGGATTTTATGATCGTTTTGGTTATTTAAAACTTTGACCCTTTGTGGGGGAGGTACCAGAAGGAATGGTCCGATCTTTATCATCTTTTTAACAGATCTAGTGTTGATAGAAATATTGACATGTACCAAGTCTGAATGGAATCGGATGTTAATTTCGCGTTATATGAACTTTTGACACTTTGTGGGGAGGTACCAGAAGGAGTGGACCTATATATTCCATCTTCACACCAGATCTCGGTTTATTAAAAATATTATGATGTGTGTAATTTGAAGACAATCGGACTCTTACATTACATTTTACAAGAGTTGTGATTATTTAAAATGTTGACTGGGAGGTACTTGGACCGAAATTGCCCATTTTCGCAACTGACCTAGCACTGATGTAGTAAAATATTTTTTTTCTTTTGAAAAATTCGACTTCATGGGTATTCAAAATTTTTGTGGGGAAGGTACCAGACGGAATGAACCGATACTGTCCATCTCCGAACTCGATCTTTGTTTGTTTGGACCAAATCGGATACTCCCTTCAAGAGTTATCGTGCGCACCATCCAGCCAGAGAGACAGACGGACGGACATCGCTAGATCGACTTCAAATGTTCTGCAATGGATTTGGTTCAAAGAGAACTAGGGTCTAGGCACGTTTTGGCCGTATCAAATGATATATACCCCCTCTAGCCATGTGGCTGAGGGTATAAAACGTTGATGTTCGCTTAGAAATCGATTTTGAACGTGCAACGGTAAAAATGATAATAACTCGGAGCAGTCAATGTTTGAATCAATCCAATCTTTCATACAAAAAAGTACTTTGAAGTTCCTTTCTCTGATATAGCTGCTGATCCTATTCTGGATCGTTCAATATAGAGGGTCATACTATCAAAGTTATATGTCCTTCTTTGAGGAAATCTTGTAAAACTTTTCCTTCAATGTAATGTGAATCCCAAATAATGGATAAATAATCAATATGAGGCTGCACACGGCTCTCAAAAAGTAGTTTTAATATTTGAAGTGAGAATTCCTTACAAATCCGTTTTATAAACCCACACTGGGAATTATATATCGAGATCGTATACTCCATATGATGTTTAAACGAGGTTATAGGATCGAAAAAATAAAACCAAGTCTTCAGTTATGTTTTCTCTCATAAAGTCCATAGCATAATTGTTGGAATAGTTAAATACAATG